CGCCCCCTGGCTCGAAGGGGCGGTGCCTCACTCTGGGCTCAGTCTGGCCGCTCTACTTAGTGAGAAAGGCGCACCCTACAGGTGGCTCAGCTGATTTTAGCACATATCTTGGTTCCAAAGATCCTGCTCCAATCCCTGTATGTGTTCTTTCAAATTACTAAGGAAGTCACAGGAGATCTGGTTTTGAGGGCATTTCGGAAACCCCTTCAGTAGTGGGCGGCACAGAAGGGCTGGGAATGGGAGACGGGTGCAGCCTCTCCACCGCCCCTTGGGCGTTCGTTAGCCTCCTGTGAAATTAATATTTATTGGCAATTCGTGAGAGTCGGAACTGAAGATAAACTCATCACAGCCACTCCAAAAGAGTTGGTAGGTGATTCTAGCCTGTCTTCGGAAACATAAAACATACTAGTATTACATATTTGAGGTAATGACAAGGGCTCAGACCAGTATCTTAAACTCACAAAAACAATCAGTGGTTCTCACAGTGGGGTCTCTAAACCAAGACCATCACCTGGAAACTTTTAGAAAAATACGGGGGTAGAATAGGATAAACTTCAGATTTCACTAGAAAGAACAAGACATACTTATCCCCCAAACAATGGTAAGGTGGAAATACTCGCAGTAGATTTCTGCCAAATTAACAATGGTAAACATAATTGTGCAACACCACGGATACCCAGCATTAATTCCCCATCTCATACCATCTGTCTACCTGCCCCACAGACTTCCAGAATTTGTGTTCCCTGAGAAGCCGACATTAATCCCCTACTTACTCCACTCCATTCCCTCTGCCCTAATGATAACCATAAGAGGATTTTTTGGTTTTTTGAGACCGGGTCTCACTGTATAGTTGAGACTGACCTGGAACTCACTATGTAGCCCAGGCTGGTCTCCAACTCACAGCGATTCTCCTGCCTCTGCCTCCCAAGTGCTGGGATTACAGGCATGCACCACCACACCCAGCAATGTTTTTGAAACCTCTTATTTCCAGCCCACTTTCCTGAACTATAGGCCCAGACATCCCATAGCGTTCAGACATTATCACTACATTTCCTATTTCTTCCTTTCTTTCCTGGGATAAAGGGGATCAGAATCTGGAAAGCACAGACCATGATTTTTTAAAAATCATTCATCCATTTAGGATTTATCTCTAAGGCAACCCACCTCTTTTCTGTTCCATGGAACTATGACCTCCTTTTCCTTGTCTGCCCTTGGGTAGACTTAATTACCTTTTTTGTATTCAACTGGACCTTTTATAGCTATCAACCATGGCACATTTAACAGGGGAATAAGAGAACATGTTCATTTAAGTTACCTTTGTTCAGGCTGGGGATTTAGTTCAGTGGTTCCTTAGCGTGCCTCACAAGCTCAAGGACCCAAGTTCAATTCCCAGTACCCCTCTCCAAAAAGTTACCTTTGTTCAACCTCAAACTTAGCAAGAACAAAACATCTAGGAAGGCCATCTTATGTTTATGTAAAAGAGGGACTCTGTGCTTCGCCTAATGTGAACATCCCAGTATGTCAGAATCTAGTATTTTCTGTACAGTTAGATCCATACTCTCACCCTTGGGGGACACTCGGGAATATCTGGAGATACTTTTGATTGTCACAATGGGGAGGGGGATTATCAGCATCGAACAGGTAGAGACCAGGGATGGTACCAAATATCCCACACTGTAGGATGTTGTTAAACATCCAAAATCCTGCTGGGCAAGGCAAAGAGGCCGAGGTAGGAGGACTGCCATGAGTTCAAGGCCAACCTGGAATATTTATGAGTCAGAGGCCAGCCTGAATCACATAGCAAGACCCTGTCTCAAAAAAAAAAAAATCATACTCCCTAAAACAAAAAATTATTTGGGCTCAAATATCAATAATGCTGAGATTAAAACACCAAGACCAATGTTTCTAAAAATAAATTAGGTTTTATAATTCTCTTGATTAAACTCCTTTAACATCTTCCCACTGGAACTGAACAAAATCCAAACTCCTGACTATAGTCCATCAAACCCTAAAAACATCTGGTCTCTGACTACCTCCTCATCTCTTTCCTTTTCACCATCCTTCTCAATGACTGAAATTCCAGTTACATGACCTTCTGTCCAAATGTATCAAGCTTGTATCCAAACACACCAGAGATTCTCCCCCACCCCCATTAAATTTATTGGCACTTTTTTTTTTTGAGACAAGGTCTCACTGTGTAGTTGAACCTGACCTAGAATTCACTATATAACCCAGGCTGGTCTTGAACTCACAGTGATCCTCCTGCCTCAGCCTCCTAAATGCTGGGATTATAGGCATGTGCCACCACGCCTGGCCTTATTGGTACATTTCAAGCAAACAATAGTTACATTTATCATTGGATCTTGTACCTTTACATATGTCTTGGTTCTTATTTTTCCCCATACCTCTGCCCTCCATTCACCCCTTCACCCTTCCCTAGTCACAAAGACTTTGTTTCCATTTTTTCTTTTCCCTTATTTCCCTTCCCCTCCCCTTCCCACTTCCCCCTTAGCCATTTTCTTCCTATTTCACACTCTCAATTATACCATTTGAACGTTATTTACACTTTTAGTATTTCACACCAAAGAAACTATTTGGTGTTTACTCAACTGTGTCCTATGTATTTCACTTAAGAGTACAGCCCTAATGTGCCTCCATTTAGCTATAAATGTCTCTAGTTTCTCATTCTTTATGGCTGAGTAGTACTCTGTTTTATAGAAAAACCACATCTTCTTTATCCAGTCTCCAGTTGATGGGCATTTGGGTTGTTTCCCAGTTTTAGCTATTACAAACTGCGCCGCTATAAACATGGGTTTGCATATTGCTGTGGTACGATTCTTTTAATTCTTTTGGAAAGATACCAAGCAGAGGGGTGGCTGGGTCAAATGGGACCTCTAATTCTAGTTATTTGGGTATCTGCATATTGATTTCCACAGTGGTTGCACCAGTCTGCACTCTCACCAACATTGGAGGTTTCCTTTTCTCCTGAGAGCCCTGCCAGCATTTGTTATTGGTTGATTTCTTGAGAGCAGCCATTTGTTCTGAATCTCAGTGTTGTTTTCATCTGCCTCTCTCAAATGACCAGTGATGTTGAACAATTTTTCATATATTTATTTGCTGCTTTTACTTGTCTGAGAAATGTCTGTTCATTTCAGATGCCCATTTTTGAAGTGGATCTTTGTATTTGGGGGGGTCTGTTTTTTTTTGAGTTCTTTATATATTCTACATAGTCATCCTTTGAGGAGTAGCTGGTAAAATTTTTTCTCACTTTGTAGGTTGTCTCTTAGCTCTGTTGGTGTTTTCTCTTGCACTGCAAAAACTTTTTAATATACAATGAGATCCCAGCTGATTCTTTGCACAAGTTCTTGTGTTGCTGAAGATTTGTTCATAATTTTTTTCCTATGCCTATGTCTTTGAGAGTGCTACCTAATTTATTTTCCAGTAAGTTTAGGGTTTCTGTTTTGTTTGTTTGTTTTGTTTTGTTTTTTTATGGTACCAGGATCAAACTCGGGCCTTTGAGCTTTTGAGGCAGGTGGCAGAACCACTGAGCTAAATCCCCAGCCCATTAGGGCTTCTGTTTTAATGTCGAGATCTTTAATCCATTTAGATTTTTTTTTTTTTTTGTACCAGGGATCGAACACAGGCAGGTGGCAGAACCACTGAATAAAATCCCCAGCCCTAATCCATTTGGGTTTTAATTTAGTGCATGGTGAAAGATAGGAATCTAGTTTTAATCTCTGACAGGTTGAAATCCAATTTTTCCAACACCATTTATTAAAGATGCTATCTTTGCTCCAGTAAGGATGGTTGGCTCCTCTGTCAAAGATGAGGTAGCTGAGTATGTCTGGTGTTGTTTCTGTACCTTCTAATCTATTCCACTTATCCTCAGATCTGTTTCTTTGCCAGCACCATGCTGTTTTTATCACTGTGGCTTTGTAGTATAGTTTTAAATCTGGAATTGTGATACCCCCTGTCTCTGTTGCCTAGAATTGCTTTTGCTATTCTAGGTCTCTTCTGGTTCCAAATGAATTTTTGGATTGTTTTTTCAAGTTCTGTGAAATAGGCTGTTGGGATTTCAATTGGGATTGCATTGAATCTGTTTAGCAGTTTTGGAAGTATGGCCACTTTCACTATGTTGCTTCTTCCTATCCAAGAAGAGGGGATGTCTTTCCATTTTCTTATATTCTCTACCAGAGATCCTTAATAGCTTTGCACTTTTCTACTTCTTTTACTCAGAATTTTACTCCAAGTGGCACCTAAAGGTACTTTCTGAACACTGTAGCATTAGCAGCTGTCTTCACCACTTCCACTTCTATAGATGGTATAAACATACACTCATTACTTTTCCTTTCTTTTTTAAAAATTGGTACTGGGGATCAAACTTGGGACCTTGGCTTTCAAGAAAGGTGGTAGAACCACTGAGCTAAATCCCTGGGCCTCATTACTTTTCTTATAGCAACTAAAAGCATCTCAATTCTATTTACTGCTTTTCACTTCCATTAACATATAAGCTCCTTGAAAACAGAAATATTTCTAAAACTAGCAGGAAGTCACCAAACCCAAGCTATTTTATCTGTTGATTAACTGGAGATTTCTCTCCAATATTGGAGTAAAAACTGGCTTTCAGAGGACCTATGGTAGTGACATACTAAAGGGTTTTCAATGGTAGTTTTGAACCATTGATTACTTTTTTCCTTCATATGTTAACTTTTGGGGATTTTTGGGGTGGTGGTGGTTGGAGACAGTCTCTCTATGTAGTTTGACTGGCCTTGAACTCTCTATGTGGTCCAGGCTGACCTCAAACTCATGGTGATCCTCCTGCCTCAGCCTCCCGAGTGCTGGGATTACAGGTGTGCACCAAAATGGCCCACCATATGTTGATTTTTGAAAAGACCTCTATGTCCTTGCTTATATCAACTTCCTATTAAACTGGGCAGAAGTCATCTTAGAATCCTCAACATGAAGTTAGGTATTTTAATTTTATGTATGATGGATGGCAGTGATGTCAAACCTTTTAGAGACAAGTGGCAAAACACAACCCAAAACCCATTTACTTATTGCAAAATGCCAACACTGCAATTAAACATGAATAGTGAGGTTTTAGTTTAGAAAAAAACCAACTCATACATTAACAACTTGTCTTAAAAGAAAAACGTGTGTGCCATAGATTCACCACCACCATACTACGGTATCTCCACCTTCTACTTAAGTCGAAAACTTCTGCCACCTGTTATGTTGTGACTTGTGTCTTCTAATTACTCTAATATATCATTCCTCATGCACCATAATCAGTAGCAAAAGCCTGTACATTTATTTTCATAAAATGTCACTACTTGTTTAGCTTGTTATATTAGAAATTCCTTCTTCCTTTCCATGCCCACTGCCATCACCTTAGCTGACAGTGCATTATCACTTGTCTAAACTAGGACAGTGTGTCCTAAGTGCTGTTTTTTTTTTTTGTTTGTTTGTTTGTTTTGAGACAGGGTTTCACTATGTAGTTGAGATTGACCTGGAACTCACTATGTAGTCCAGGCTGGTCTCAAACTCACAGCAATCCTCCTGCCTCAGCCTCCTGAGAGCTGGGATTATAGGTGTGTGCCACCACACCCAGCCTAAGTGGTTTTCTTCTAGCACCAAACCATTTTATATAGTACTGGCAATCTAATCAATGTTTCTGAGAAAACCTCAAAGTGCTATGTAATAAATGGTTGCTATTAAGTACATACTATTTGCTAGCCAGTGTTAAACATTTGACAAGTATTCTCTATCTTCAGGATTTACCAAAAAATTTGTAATAGCTTTACTGAGATATAATTATCCATGTAGAGTGTAATTCAATAGTTTTAATATACTCAAAGAACTGTACATCCGTCACAATTTTAGGTTGTATCACTCCAAAAACAATCTCATACCCTGTAACCATTGCTAATAGCCTTCATTCTGCCCACTGATAGGCAGCCATTACTTACTTTCTGTCTCTAGACTTGTATGCACTCATACAATATATGGTCTTTCATGACTGGCTTCTTTCACTTAATACTTTCAAGGTTCATTCATATTATAGGATGATTAATACTTCATTACTTTTTATGGCTAAGTAGCATTTCACTGTATGAATATATTTGGATTATCTGCATATAATGGTTGTTGCTACCTTTTGGCTAGTTATGACTAATACTGCTATATTCATATGAAAATATTTTCATTCTTCGTAAGTGCATTTACTGAATTAAATGGTAATTCAATCTAACTTTCTGAGGAATTGCCAGACTGTTTTCCAAAACTGCTACACCAAAGGGCCAGGACTTAGCTCTGTGGTGCTGCACCTGCCTGGCAAGTGCAAGTTTGATTCCTGGTACCAGCGGAAAAAAAGCTGAAAAAAACTGCTACACTCTTCTCACCAGCAGTGTATGAAGGTCCAGATCTCCCCACATCTTCATCAGACTTGTTTTTATTACAGCCATTGTAAAAGGTGTAAAACAGTATTTCATTGTGTGCATGCATGGGGGTCCTGGGAAGTAAATCATGTGCTATTCCAGAGCCTTAACACCTAGCCCTTAAGTGCTGTCCACTTTGTATTTCCTAATGACTAATGATGTTGAAGATCTTTTCCTTTATTTGTTGGCTATATACCTTCTTTGGAGAAATATGTTCAGATCATATGTTCATTTTAAAACTGGGTTGTTCATTTAAGTTGTAAGTATCATATACATTCTCAATTTTATCAGAAACATAATTTATGAATAGTTGTCCTGTTATCTGTGAGAAACTGGTTCTAGGACCTCCTATGGAGACTTAACATCTCAGAGGCTAAACTCTCTTATACAACGTGACATAGTATTTGCACATAACTTATGCATATATTCTCATGTATATGTTCCGTCCCACCCCCAGTACCGGACTTTGAATCTTCAGCCCTTTTTATTTTTTTGAGACAGGGTCTCATTAAGTCAATGAGTTACCCATAGTAGGACTGAAATCAAGATCCTCTTGCTTCAGCCTCCCAGAGTGCTGGAAATACAGGCATATTTCATCACACCCTACATCCAATTCTTTTTCAAAATTCCTTTTCAGACAAGGTCTTGCTAAGTTGCTCAGGCTGGCCTCAACCTTGTAATTATCCTGCCTCAGCCTCCTCAGTACTTGGGGTTACAGGTGTGCATCACCACACACAGCAGGGCTTTCGCTTTTTTGATGTTGTGTTTTGAAGCAGTTTTCATTTTGGCAATTGATGTTTTGGTATTATACCTAGAAATTACATTTCCCAATACAAGTTCATTAAGATTTACCACTATATTTTCTTCTAAGAATTTTAGTTTTAGCTCGTTAGGCCTTTGAACCATTCTGAGTAAATTTTTCTATGTTGTGAGTTCGAGGTCCAATTTTATTCTTCTGTTTGTTTGTTTTGGTACCAGGGATCAAATTCAACTTGTGCTTGCAAGGCAGGCAAGGTGCCACTGAGCTAAATCCTGGCCCAACTTTATTCTTTTGCATGTGGATATCCAGTTGTCTCAGCATCATTTGTTCAAAAGTCTATTCCAATGAATTATTTTGGCACCTGTGTCAACATCATCATTTGTTTAAAGGTCCATTCTTTTTCTTTTCTCATTCAATTGTTTTGGCAACCCTGTCAAACATCAGTAGTCCAGACATGTAAGGATTTTTCTTTTTCTTTTTTTATAGGGTCTCACTGTGTACTTCAGGCTGGCTTTGAATTCACTGAGTAGTCTAGGCTGGCCTCAAACTTGAGGAGATTCTCCTGCCTCAGCCTCCTGAGTGCTGGGATTACAGGAGTGCACCATCACACCAGGCTACATTGTCTTGATTACTATTGATTTGTGTAAATTCTGAAAATGAGATGTATGAGTCCTCCAACTTTAAAAATATTTTCATTTAACTAAATGCAACTTTGGGTAATAGGTATTATCCCTATTTTACAAATGAGGAAAGACTTAGAGTAGTTTAGCTAAGGGCATAAAAATATTTGATGGTACCCCAAGGTTATACTTAGATTGACAATAAATATGCCTCTTCTATACTGTAACCCCAAATTACTTTCCAGACTTCATTTATATTAATCCTTCCATGTATTCTAAAATTTCCCCTCCTTAAGCTTCTTTGTACCTAACCTTCTGTTCTTATTTTTCATCTGGAATGCTCCATCCTTTGTTTCATAAAATTTTAATTCACAATACTTTCATTATCAGTTAGCAAAGTGATTTCCTTTTCACTCTATTTCCTTAGCAGTACAAGCCTATTTATTGCATATTCTATTCTTCACTATCTCTAGAGACATATTATTTCTCTTCCTAGCTTAAGAATAAGGACCAGGGCCAGGGTTTTAGCTCAGTGGTTCTGCCACCTGCCTCACAAGCACAAGGACCTTGGTAAAAAAAAAAAAAAAAAAGGACCATCTCTCATTCACCTATCTTTCCAAAGCAGTAATACCATATCTTTCACATAGCAGGTGTTTACTGTTTTAAATGAATAAATGAATTCAAATTTACTCCTATAAGAGTAGGCAATAAGAGTACACGTGTATTTTGGACTGACAGTTGTATGAGTGTATGTAAAAATGGCAAGGTTGGGGGCCAGGGATTTAGCTCAGTGGCACCTGTGCCTGCCTCACAAGTTTAAGGTCCTGAGTTTGATCCCTGGTACAAAAAAAAAAAAAAAAAAGCAAGGTGGTAGAAATGAATACCCGGGAATTTCCTAATCCTGAAAATGTGATAAGAGAAAGATAACATGAAACAAATGATGTGTGGAAGAATGGCACACCCAAAAATAGAGCTGATACTAATCTTCCATTTCAAAGGATTGTGTTCAAGTAAGAAATACTTGCAAGAAGATAAAACAAGTGATTTAAGAAGCCCCAAAGTAATTAGACACAATGTGGGGAGTACCAGTAGTCCCAGCTACTTGAGAGGTTGAGGTAAGAGGATTACTGGAGCTCAAAAGTTCAGGGTCAGCCCAGACAACATAGTGAGCTCCCTCTGTCACTAAAATAAGCAAACAAAAACAACAATAAAAACCTCTCAAAACTGAATTTATTGTGGTACAGAGCAGGTGGGTAACTCCAATGAATTCAGGTAAAGTTTCATATAACCTGGGATAACTCAAATATACCACCAGGTCCATTCTAGGGTCAGAATTCCCCAAAAGACAATAGGAAAATGAGACCTTTCTTGAGAGAAGAAGGCAGGAGGAAATATAACAGTGTGCCAATATTTACAACCTTCCTGATGCTCCCAAAACTTTCCTGACTTGTCCATTCTCACATTACTTTCAAGTCATCAACATCTCCATTTTTTAACCCTAACTGCAGAATAAGAATCATTTTCAGAAGAATATGGTAGTTCTCATTTTTTTCTTCAGTGCCATCTGGTTCCAGTCAAAGGTACAATTTACTCACAAAGGAGACTATTAAGAACTCCAGACTATGGAAAGACTGACACCAGGGCTTTTTGCTACCTACTAAATCTAGAAACCTATCTTTAGAAGCTACTTGTGGCTAACCTCTTAGCAATAAGTTACATCATCCTGGTGCTCTCGTTCAGCTTAGACTCTTTACCTGTACAGTGAATGAGATTTAGAACAAAGTATGTTTCAGTGTTGGCAACATCCTGGCATGTGCAGTAAAATTTTGTCACAGCTTCCCCATTTTCCATGAATCTAGTGAGGCTCTGGCTCAGCCATTTAAACTCCACGATCTACTTTCTCTTCTAATTGCCTCTATCTAGCTGGCAGGAACTCCCTCGAAACATGATGTAGTAGGCATTGCAGTATACTGGCTGCTTGTTGGGGTTAGAATAGACCTGTTCAGGCTTGAGAGATGCGAAAGGATTAGCTCCATATGCAATGATATGTGTATCCAGGTCCACCAGAATCTGTACAGAGGCTGCCAATTCCTGGTGGCTATGGGAGAGAGATAAGAAACATTGTTGTACTGATTATGAAAGACAGGAAAAGGGAGAAAGCAAGCTAGCAGGAGTTGCTCAAAAGCATGACATTTCCGTACTTATCAATTCCAAAAATTACCCAGTGACTAGGTAAGGACTATCCCTTCCTCCAAAATGGTTCACTACATCTGTAAATAAGCAACATAGGGGATGAAAAGGCCACGGGGGGAAGGAAGAATATCTTCACAAGAAGGTAGATAAGCAAGGGGAAGCAAAATAAACCCTTCCATATAAAGAATGATACGAGTGCATCAGGGAGATACGACAAATAGGAATAGGTCAAAACCTGTAGACAGTAAGCAATGTAGGGATCTTATAGTCACGAAGTAGCAGCAAGGTAGGTAGCCAATTTTCCATCAAGGTTGGGGAGGCATGGAAACCTATGGAACAAAAATAGAAAGGGAAATAGCCAGGAGAAAGACTGATAGACCTTATGAGCAAGACACTTCTTTCAGCGTTTCCACTCCAACCCTCATGTTGCTCACCATACTCATCATCATCACCATCCACCCCAGGTTCTTCAGTGAAAACTCTAAACCCTAGTGTAGTACGCATAGCAAATGATGAACCAAGGATATCATCACATGGTGTTTAACAAGCTCAAATGAATAGGATTCCAAAAATAAAAAGATAAAAGAATCAGGATAGAATATTCTCAGGGAGTCACCCAGTGTTCCTCTGAAGAAATGGCTCTTACCTGGATGGAAAGCCACTACCATATCTGGATGGGCTATCTGCCCAGTCTCTACATGTTCCTCCCAGAAGTCATGATAGAGGCCCCTGTGGCCACTAAGAAGAATGGTGCCGGGTTCTGGAGTTGAAGATGCAGCGCTCTGTAAAAAGCTAGTAGCCACGTCTACACCCACCATGAATACATGGAGGCCAAGATGTCCAGGCAACATGTATCCAAGCTCATTATAGTCCCCAGATCGAGTGAGAAATGTCTCCACATGTGAAGCACCAACCACATGCACTGTGCTTCCCCCAGTCTTTCCACTGTTTATGCCAAAGGCCTTAAGTCCTAGGCCCAGTGTCAAGGGCCGTGACAGGGTATCTGTCAGTAGCCGCTTCAAAGACCCCTGCAGAACATCTGGGTCTGGCCTTGGCCTTCCTACACTGGCCCAGAGGATGGTCATGGCATGGCTACCTAGCACAGCATCCAGTGTAGCCTCTAGCTGTCTCTCTCTCATAGAAAACCAGGTATCCCAGTCCTGTACAATGTCAGCTGGCCAGGGCCAAGGTCCTGAGGGTAGGACAAAATCACCTGTAAGAAAGAAGGAATGAAAAGTGACCTAATTCTTCTTTGGCTTCAAAGTTCCCTCTCACTAATGATCCCTCCATGTTCATTCTGTCAACATGTGAGCTCAAGTAACTATCCCTTCCTAGTTCCTATTTTTCCCGTATAACAATATGCTTTCATTTATTTTTTTTTTAATATTTATTTCTTTCTTTCTTTCTTTCTTTCTTTCTTTCTTTCTTTCTTTCTTTCTTTCTTTATTTCTTTCTTTCTTTCTTTCTTTCTTTCTTTCTTTCTTTCTTTCTTTATTTCTTTCTTTCTTTATTTCTTTCTTTCTTTATTTATTTATTTATTGGTTGGTTGGTTGGTTGGTTGTTTTGAGACAGGGTCTCATTATGTAGTTGAGCAAAACCAAGAACCACTATGTAGCCCAGGCTGGTCTCGAACTCACAGCAATCATGCCTCAGCTACCCAAGTGCTGGGATTACAGGTGTGTGCCAGCACACCCAGCTACTTTCATATCTTTAACTAAGTACAACCGACTATGGCCATTATGGCAGAATTTCCCAACACCACCACTCCACCTGTGACCAGGAGCCATTCCATGAGACGATCCATAGCCACAAGACAGAGCTCTCGACAAACCCTCTTGTGTGCTGGCCAGTCTGACCTCTGGCACTCTGGACCACAGTAATATACATTTCTGCACCTAAGAGAATAAGCCAAAAAATAGATAGGACTCAAACCCAACATTCTCAGAACACACATGGTCTTATCACTTGAGCACAGTAAGTTTAACTCATGAACAAGTTCTATTCCAGGAGAACATTCATAAATCAATTTGTTTGACAAAGTGGGTTTTATACACCTTTGACACAAATATTCAGTGTAAAGCATAAAACACACACACATAAAAATACTGTAAATAATTTTTACATTTACAGTTACCTTAAAATGGTAAGGTTAGTTGGGTGTGGTGGTGCACATCTGCAATCCCAGCATCTGGGAGTCTGAGGCAAGGATGATCACTATAAGTTTGAGGCTAGCCTGGACTACACAGTGAGTTCAAAGCCAGACTGTACTACAAAGGGAGGCTTTGTCTCAAAAACAAGAAATAAAAAAAAAAAACAAAAAAAAAAACAGTAAAGTAGACCCCTGAGCTATTTTACATGATTTGGTCACATCTACAAATGTTTGTAATCTGAGGTTGGTCCACTGGTACTTGTAAAAGTTTGTAACTTGAATGTTTTTAAGTTGGGAATTTAACTGTACTCAAGAAAAGGGGGTAGAAAAGAGTGCATTTGTTCTCTTGTCTTATTTCCCCACAAGACCAAAAATATGTAGGATTACAACTATTTTCTAATCTCTCTGTAGTTTGAGTCACATAAAATGAAGAGTAAGACTTAAGTTATTCTGAAAACTGAATTTCCTTTTGGAATGAGGATCTAACATATAGTCATTTCTGAATGTCTCCCCTATTGTCATGTCACAAATCACCTCTTACAGTGCCGGAGGACCTTGGAGTCTGAAAGGCCACTAGGTAATGCTCTACAGTAAGCACAAAATCGGAATGTGTCCTCCAATCTCTGGAACATTTCTTGAGGACATCGAAATCCAAAGCCTGATACAGGGGTACCCCCATCTACCACCAACCTGCAGAAACAACATGGAAAAGTAGCAATAGGGAAAAGTATATTTCCAAAATCTCTCATATCTCTTACTTTGCCTCCTATACATTTTCACATACTCTTATATCTCCCACTCCCATAATTTCTTTAAGTAAATTCTATTTCTTCTATAATAATACTGACAAGTTAGGTTGAGAAAAATCTCTCTTACAAATATCTCCTACTGCCCAAATTATACTTTCCCTTTACTTTCTGAAATCACTTCTATCAAAGACAGTATCTCTTACACAGAGCTAGTCACTCACTTGTATTCTTCATAGCTTTTCATGTTCAGCTTTTGAAGGATCAGCTTGGATAAGCCAGGAACATTATTATCCAAGGAGAAGAAACCTAATGCATCAATGCTAGGGCCAGGTTTTTCCAGGGTCAGAGGTACAGGAGTCTCAACTGTGGGAGGAGTTACAACCGGTGCAGTCACTGATGGAGGTTTCTTATGCCTTCGTCGCCGTAAACGTGGAGCCATGGCCTGTTCAATGATACCTGAGGACTATATGCAAAACAGATGACCAGTGGAATTTGGCAAGTTGGAAATGATACATTTTCAGATGCTTGATCTTTGACTTCTCACTCTAGTCTCCCAGACCCAAGTTATCAGTAAGATTTATTTAGAATTTATAGATTACCAATTACCACAGGCAGTTGTAAAAAACAGAGAAAGAATTATGTGCTTTGTATGAAGTTCTATATACAATTTTATATGTAAATAAATGCACAGAAAAGGTCTGGTGGGACTCTTTGAATTAGTAATAGTGATTAACTCTGAGTAAGGGAAGAAGATAGTGAAATAGGAACTGGGTTGATCAAAGAGGCCTTCCTTATCTGTAAACTTTTGTATAAGGAGACTACATTCATATATTAGTATATAGTATTTATATTCATTTTAAAGGAACTGTGATCATATATATAAGCAACAAACCAAAAAATAAAAATGAAATGCAATATAAAATGAGCATAAGGCTAAGAGTTATATAATCAAAATAAGTCAGGCAAATTATGAAGAAAATTTCCTAAGAAATTAGGTTTTGAAGTAGAATTAAGGCTATACCCACTATCTAGTTGAGACTATGTGATACCCAACTTTCCTGTCTTGTCTTCTCCCATGCCTTCCATAAGGGCTGAGTAGACAAAAGGCCTCATACTGGAAAAAAATAAAACATTCACTCATTCAAAAATATATTTATTAACAAACATAAAAATACAAAATGAAAAGTACTATATGGAAATAAATATGAAGAATATGTATCTCATCTGAATGTCATATAGGGAAGATTCAATGTATTATTATTTTTTTTTTTTTTTGAGACAGGGTCTCACTGCGTAGTTGAGATTGACCTGGAACTCACTATGTAGTCCAGGCTGGTCTCGAACCCACAGCAATCCTCCTGCCTCAGCCTCCCGAGTGCTGGGATTACAGGCGTGCACCACCATGCCTGGCCTAGGGAAGATTAAATGTAAACTATTAGCTAGTATATAAATTCTCTAAGAAAAGTGAAACAAAAACTCTATAGGAGATCAGAGGAAGTGAGTCTCTTAAGTGGATAAACTACAGGAAGACTTTATGAAGTAAACAGAAGCTGGAATTGACCTTGAAAAATGAGAATACTCTGAATATACGAAGATGGGGAAAGGGAAATTCTAAGTACAGAGAAAAGCATGAGCATAGAAATGAAGACAGGAACATTTTAGAAATTAACTAAATGGGATAATTTGAGTTTGAATGTTATGTTTTTAAACATAAGAGCTAAATACAGGATCAGGGATTTAGCTCAGTGGCACCATGTCTGTCTCACAAGTGCAAGGTCCTCAGTTCCATCACAGGTGTATACACACACATACACACACACACACACACACACGGAGCTAAATATGGAAGCGTCAGAAGAGAACAAGGAAAGCTTCATGACATGAATTCAGCAAAAATTTCTTAAGTTGTAATTTGGGGAGGGGTACCAGGGATCGAATTCAGGACCTTGCCCTTGACAGGCAGGCAGCGGCACTACTGAACTACATCCCTGGCAAAAATTTCTTAGATATGATACCACAATTGCAGGCAACACAGAAAAAATAGATAAAATGGACTACACTGAAGTTAAAAACTTGTGCACATCAAACGATACCACTGGGCTGGAAGTGTAGCTCGGTAGTATGGCACATGCTTCACATGTATGAGGATCTGGCTTCTATCTCTAGCACCACAAAAAAAAAAAAAAAAAAAAGTAAGCACACTAGTATGAAATGACAGCCCACAGAATAGAAGAAAAGATTTGCAAATCGTTATCTGACATAGAGTTAACATCTAGAATATATGGAAACAACAAAAAAGACCTAGTTAAAAAATGGACAGGACTGTTATTTTCTGAAGAATTTATGCAAATGGCAATAAACTCAAGAAAAAAGGTTCATTAATTAGGGAAATACAAATCAAAACCACAATGAAATATCACTTCACACCCCAGTAGGACGGCTATTATAATAAAACACAATAAAGTTAGTATTGATGAATATGTAGAATCATGAGAAACTCTATGCATTGCTGATGGAAATTAAAATGGTACAAGCATCACAGAAAATAGTATAGCAGTTCCTCAAAGAGTTGGACCTAGAATTACTGTATGACCCAGCAGTTTCATTCTAAGGTGTATATATCTCTAAAAACAGGTACCCAAGCAAATGCTTAATGTTCATAGCAGCACTATTCAAAACATAAAAACAATTCAAAGGTCCACCAAAGGATAAATGGATAAACAAATTGGGACCATATATACATACATATTCCCTCTCTCTCTCTCTAGGAAAGCAAATATTATTCAGACATAAAAAAAATACTGACATGCTAGATAAACCTCAAAACATTTTTTTTTTTTTTTTAGTACCAGGGATCAAACTCGGGTCCTTATGCTTGCAAGGCAGGTGGTGAAACCACTGAGCTAAATCCCCTGCCCCTCAAAACATGTTAAGTGAAAGAAGCCAGAAATAAGCAGTTATATGTTATATGATGCCAGCTATATGAAATATCAAGAATTGGTCAGCCGAGAAAGCAGACTGGTAGTTGCCAGGAACTGAGTGAAAGGGAAATGAGGAATAACTGCTCAACATTTAACAATTAAGGTTTTCTTTTGTTCCTCCTCTTCCTTTGCATGTGTATGTGGTGCTAGAGATTGAATCCAGGACCTCATGCATGCTAGGCAAGTGCTCCACCAGTGACCTACATCTCTACCCTGGGATTTTGTTTTGAGATGATAAAAATGTTTTGGAATTAGACCGAAGGGTTGGTTGTACAACACTGTGGATGTACTAAATGCCATTTTTTTTTACTGTTAAAATATCTTTTATTCTGAGATTATAGACTTGAGTAATGCATTTTTTTCTAAATACCATTTGATTACTAATTTAAAATTATTTTATTATGTGAATGTCATCTCAAGAAAAAGAGAAAGGCATCTGTAAGGATTGAGAGGTGAAAAAATATTATTATTATTATTATTATATATTTTTGGTACTGGGGATTGAACTCCGGTCCTTGTACTTGAAAGGCAAGCGCTGGAACCACTGAGCTAAATCCCGGGCAAAAAAATTATTAATATCCAGATTACCTGCTTCCCAGGCCAGGAAAATGATAGAGGATAAAAACACTGGCAATGGTAGCTTTTACTGTGCATGATGCCAACAAAGTTCAAATCAGAGATCATGTTTTGTTATAAAAACAGCCTGACATTTGATCAAAGGGCCTGATATTTAATCCTTTTGGACCACAACTATTGGGGGGAAAAAACCCTAAGAATCATCATGTGGCTGAGGTGTACACAAGTGGTAAAACAAACAAACAAACGAAATAGTCCCGGAATAATCCAGCTCTTGCAAACTAGTAAACTTCTGGTCTGAGATTAATGGAGGAACATTCCTGTTTTCCTTTGTACTATTATCCCTATTTCTATCTATCCTGTCATCTCCCCTCAACTCATTGGTGATTGCATCAACTCCATAGAACAAAGCTCTTCTGTGTATCACAATCTCTACATTACCACCAAAGAAACAGGAACTAATGATAATAGACCTTTCTTGGTGAGGGGGCACCGGGGATTGAATTTGGCTCTATGCTTGCAAGGCAGGCAGCGGAACCACTGAGCGAAATCCCCAGCCCTACTTTAAGGTTTAAAGGTCATATATCCTTTTACTGAAGGGTCGATGAAATTGACATTCATACTCTGAACTCCATTTCTAACAGCTAATCTGATTCCACCCTCCACTTATTTTAATGGTCTTTATTAAACATGGACCACATGCACTCTAGGCAAGCACTCTCACTGAGCTAAAAACCCCAGTCCAACTACCCTCCGTTTTATTTATTGATTGAATGATTGATTGGTACCAGGGATTGAACTCGGGACCTTGTGCTTTTGAGGCAGGCAGCAGCATCACTGAGCTAAATCCCCGGCCCATGCCCTCCATTTAAAAAAATTTTTTTTGTTTTTTTGAGACAGGGTCTCACTATGTAGTGGAGACTGACCTGGAACTCACTATGTAGCCCAGACTGGTCTCGAACTCACAGTGATCCTCCTGCCTCAGCCTCCCCAGTGCTGGGATTACAGGCGTGCACCACCACACCCAGCTTCCATTTTTTTTTTCCAGCTTCCATTTTTAATCACTATACATTCTCAGTGCAATTTCAGAATCACTGCCATTACAGAAAAATCATTTATTTGCTCTGTCTGCCATTGCCCCCAGCCCAGGTCAAAACAGTACCTTCCTAAGCCTTGAGAAACGGGACTTTTTCATTCTTAAAAACACAACAAACCAACAAACAGAGGAAAAATACCTTGATTTGAGACAATTTTAAGGTCTTAAATCCCCGGACTTATAATAAATATGTTTCTGATGCTAAACTAGAAGTGTTTTTGTTGCAGTGGAAGCCAATTAAGATCAGAAAGATACTGCATACTTAACTGCATTTCCAAAGCTATCTTCCTAAAAGGCAGATAAACTTGGTAATACAGGAGTTAAAAGAATTGACCAGAAGTTGAAGCACATAGCTCAGGGAAACGAAATGATAATGATTAAATTCCTAATACCACAGTCTCTACTATGTCTAGAACACACAGTTGATTTATAGCACAAATGTTCTCGCTTTCTGACAAGAAGGTAAGAAAGTAGGAGTGAGTTTAAGTCTTTGCATATATCTATATATCTATATCTATATCTATATCTATCTTCAGGCTCAGGTCTGAGTTTGTGTATCTCAGGCCCAGACACAGATTCCCTTTTCTAACTTTTCTTCAAAGAGCCTCAGTCCCTTCCAAGTTCAAGGGGTATAAACTGACAGAAGGAAAAAGATAGGCAACACAAGGGCGAAGCTGGAAAGCATTAGAGTAAGCTCTTAAAACTTAACAGAGTAGTTTACCTAGAAAGAGAATCATTTTTTTTTTCTAGCCATACTCAGTAAACTGCAACCAGAATCATGGAACAAATTCTGCAACAAGAACTGTAAAAAGAAGTTTGTGAACAGCGGTACCACTATATAACATTCCTACTATATGAGAAATACCAAGAACTGATGGGGAGATATGGACTACATTATCTAAAACAACCTGTCATTTTCATCTCCAGTTTACAAACCAAAATATTAAACCTATTGCTAGACTGAAGTTTATCATCTTTGTCTTTCCTTACCAACTGAAAAGCCTCAATTTTATCTAGGTCACTGATATTGTTTCACTATTTCCTGACCAAGATGGCCCATCTGATTTTCTCTAGTTCACCAGCAAACACCAAATACCTTTGAGGTGAGAAGGGGGAGTAAAGCTGGTCATTGAGGATCCACAAAAGAGGTAGGGCAAGAGGAAAAAAAGAAAAGAAATATATTAAGAATACTGCTATTATGACCACATACAGCTGCTTAATCAGTGATTAACACTCCCTAGGGTGATGAATACTTACTCAATTATAAACTAAGCAAACAGATAGGTTGATGGGAAAGTAACTTACCCTGCTAAGCCCTAGGCTTCCTTCCTTCTCTCTTCCCTCCAAGTGAAGTGAGTGCTTGATCTCCTCAAATCTAGGTTGTGGCTTACTTGCACCTGTCCCTTCATATCAATTCCTTTGCCAACTGCTGAAATGGTATGTCTTGGTGATTAAGTGTGCCCTGCCAACCAGACAGACAAGGCTGAATTCTCCCTAATGAGGCAAGTAAGAAGCTGGACTGCTGCCCAAGGTCTTCTCTCTTTCTGACCCTTATTCTCTGCCAAGAGAGCTCAAGACTGTCAACACTCCCAAACTCATCCAAAACTTTGGCAGGCTGAGGAAAGATGAAACCTACTGCTTTCTGGACTTTTTTCAAGACAGTATTTCTGTTCTCAGTTTACATCTTTTAAAAAAAAACAGTTCAGAAGTTAGTATTGGTTGGAAAGGGTAGGCACTAGCCTGGAGGAACTGCAATCCCTAGAGTCCCTAGATGGCAATCTAGACTCAGGATGAGTTCGTACAAAGCCAATGACCTTTTTTAAAAAATCATAACACTGCTAAAAAAAGAACTCAACAAATTCCAATCTAAGCTTAAGTATAAATTGAATTACCTAAGAGAAGAGAAATGGTCACTTAATAGTAATCAACTGTAGGAGAAACAAACAGAATTATTTTATAAAATTCACATTTCCTGAAAGAAGAGTACAGTATTCTCTAATGAGAATGTCACCAGTGGCGTTCCACCTATTTCAAAAAAGAAATAAATTTCTGGAATATAAGCCCAACACTTTATTTAAAACTAAAAATGTATAGTATTTCTAGAAAAGGAAAATGGAAAAGAATCAACTCAAACATCCCTTCATTCCTTCTTGTAATGGTTGTTGACCCAGGACATTCCCAGCTCCTTTCTCCTCAAAGCTATTGAGCTGTACAATCTATCAGATGTTGTTAGGGCAGTGGAACTGTATGACTGCAGGACCTGACTTTCTGCTTATATTTGACCCTAGCTGTTACTTACCTGTCTCTGAACATCCTCAAAAGGGGAAACATCTTGCAACAAGACACTGGGCTGGGTGTGGTGGCGCACACCTATAATCCCAGCACTCGGGAAGCTGAGTCAGGAGGATTGCTGTGAGTTTGAGACCAGCCTGGGCTACATAGTGAGTTCCAGGTCAGTCTCAATTACATAGTGAGACTCTGTCTCAAACAAACAAACAAACAAACAAACAAAAAAACGGGCCAGGGATTTAGCTGAGTGGTTCGGTGGCCTGCCTTGCAAGCACAAGGACCGAAGTTCAATCCCCGGTACCAAAAAAAAAAAAAAATTATCAACTAGGGATGGGGATTTAGCTCAGTGGTTCCACTGCCTGCTTCACAAGTGCAAGGTCCTGAGTTCGATCCCCAGTACCACAAAAGAAAAAACAAAACAAAAACTCTGGAATGTGGCAAATTAAATCCACAGGTGTTGAGGGGTTTTTGTTGTTGTCGTTTGCTTGTTTTGATACTCAGAACGAATCCGAGGGCCCTTGTACCAAACAACCCCAGCCCTTTTTTAAATTTTGAGACAGTGTCTCACTAAGTGACTAAGCTACCCAGACTGGGTTTGAACTTGTGATCCTCGTGCCTCAGCCTCCTACAAGTTCTGGGACATACAGGCATGTGCCACAATGCCCACCTAAATCCATATAGTTTTGAGGCAGAGAAAGGATTCCACTGGAGCCCCAAACTGTAGAAAGCACAAACTAGAGCAGGGAAAGTGAAAGAATCACGTCAAGGAGTCAATGAAACATGTAGCATTAGTAGAATAGCTGTGATAATAGGCAAAAAACCTGAGTAAAATAGGGATGATTCATTGTAAGCAAAATTTTCAGGATAACTTCAAATTTAACAGGCTTGAAAATTTAAGTTCAAACTCCAAAGAGATTATGAGTTGTGTTGCTAATGGCTGAATTGCAGAAGGTATAAGAAATGAAGAGACTAACTCTGCTAATTCAAACATGTCATCTTTGGATATAAAAGAGAATGATGGAAAACTTTTGTTGAATATATTTCACCATCACTACTACTTGCACTGGTAGACATTTAAGTGACAATTTAGAAAGATCTTTGCTTTTTACAATTTTTTGCATTCATCATGAGTTGCATTAAAAGTATCTAACTACTTAACAAGTTGTTTGTTATAAAGCCAAGAAAAGGGCCGGGGATTTAGCTCAGCAGTTTTGCTGCCTGCATTGCAGACACCAGGGCCCAAGTCCGATCTCTAGTACCAAAAAAAAAAAAATAAAAAATAAAATTAAAAGTAAAGCTAAGAAAGATTTGAAAGAGGTTCCTATTTAACAAGTAGGAAGTTGTCTGTGAGGAAGCTGGGTGATACTCTACCACTCTTTGTGTGTACTGCTTTTTCTGAGTTATTTCCTTTTCTTAATTTTTACCATCAGCTTAAAATCCTCTAGTTTGCTAATGATGTTTCATGCTTCCCATAGCTCCTAGAAACACTATATAATCCTAGTGATGAATCTAAGGCCAAAGAAATTCCTGGCATCTAATACACTAAATTCCTACTTTAGAGATGCATAGCTATCACAAAATACCAACATTAAAAATCTTTAAGGTATGCAGTATATAACTTTTTTTTTTTTTTTTTTTTTTTTTGAGACAGGGTCTCACTATGTAGTTGAGACTGATCTGGAACTGTGTAGCCCAGGCTGGTCTCTAACTCACAGCGATCCTCCTGCCTCAGCCTCCCAAGTGCTCATATTACTAGTGTGCGCCACCATGCCGGGCCCCAGTGTATAACTTCTGAGGCAGTTCATGACTGATTTGCAAATTAATATTATGGCAAATAGAACCTGTAATAATCAATAACTTGAGAAGTTCTGCTTAACTGGAATTAGACAGGTATATATATTTTTGATAGAAATTTGTTTTATAATGTATATAATTATTGTACATGCTGTACATGAGAAACCCAACATACTATACTTTAAAGAGCAAAATAAGAGATTAGAAACAGGGAAATAGATGCTGTGGACATGAAAAGGGGGTTTGGGTATGAAGAGAAATGGGAAGAAAGGGAGGAGAAAAGGAAATAAGAAGAATCATGTGATATGTATATGTACCAATTTTCCATGATGAATGTATTTAATTTGTATCAAAAACATACTAATAAAAATTTAAAAAAGAACTACAATTATTTTACAAAATGTGAGCAATATCATAATTTTCCTCAAATTGCAAAATCCTATACTTACTCTGATTATGGCAAACAAGGAGTATGATGACAAGAAAATCCAGTATTGTCAATAATTTTTTGCTTGTTAAAATATCCAATAATTTCCCAATACCACTACAATAAAATTCTAAGAAAGAACATTTTCTTTCAATTAACAGTTAATGAAAATAGTGATTTTAGGGCCAGGGATTTAGCTCAGTGGTGCTGCACTTGCCTTATAAGCCTGAGTTTGCCTTAGTGCGATCCCCAGTACCAAAAAAGAAAATAGTGATTTTAAATATATTTAGGAGAACTAGAGTAGGCATTCAAAGTCTTCTAATGCTGTTACTAATGCTCATGCAAAAAAAAAAAAGGGGGGGGAGTCGCTGAAGACAACAATTTAATTCATCAAATCACCATGAACTATCTACGAGATAATCCTGAAGACTATCCCAGCTCCATTCACAGATTTTTTGATTTGCAAAATAAGGTCAAATGAGACTGCATCTTCCAAATAAAACCCAACACAGAGATAGGAGCAGCGGCCCATGCATGGAATTTATTGTGTGCTATTGTTTATAAAATACTCGGATAGTCCTGGACATGCATAATATTTCCAACTTAAGACAGGAGACCATACAGGGTGCACTTTCTGGCAAACAAAACAATAGACGGTTCCGCTGCCTGGAGCTCTGAGTTGTATTCCAGGGCATGAGGGAAGCAGGCCACCAAAGTAAAGGAAAATACCAAACTACAGTGGCAATCAATACAGATCAATAATTGTGTAAAATTAGCACATGGTTCCATTTAGTTTAACCAAGCAGTTCTGTAACTATCAAAATAAAAATTTCAACATGCAGTCTTGACTTTTATGCTTCCACTAACATCTGAAGAATTGAACAGAACCACTGTTTCTAGGCTGCATTGCTTAATCAAAAACACTTCCAGAACATTTAAAATTACCTTTGCATTAAAACATAAAAATGATAGAAAGCCAGCAGCAAATCACCCTGGTGGCTATTTAAGTAACTGGAGTACTTACAATAAACTAAAATTTCTCATAACATCTAGGTAACCTATACATGTCGTACCTGTACATCATAGGTCTATATATTAAATATTTGCAAAATGAAAACATGCATACACAAAATACATCAAGTTTTACAGACATGATTTGAATTAAAATTTACTTTGACAATGTACAAACTTCTTTTAAAGTACCTTAAGTGAGTAATTCTGTAATTCTTCATAATTTTGAAATTTAGAAGTTTTCTTCTTAAATCTCTGGGGTGTAAATCTCAAAAGATCTGGGCAAAAAAGATTCTAAATTAGTTTTTGGATTTCTGTTCAAGTAAGAGTAGTCCTAGAAATAGTCTCTGTATTCATAATCGAAAAATATCAAGACTATGTTACAGAATTAGCCACATTTAAGAACTCTAGACCTGAGGTCAGCATTTTGTATAAACACCAACTGGGTTTCTCAGCATTTTGCCTACAATTCAAAATACAGCTAAATACCTCAGAAATATATTTTAAGACCATGCTAAGTCATCCTTTAAAGACATTTCATTGAAAAAAACGTCCACATTAACTCTTAGGATTGCATTTGAAGTCATGATTGAAAAAAAAAATCTAATTCTACTGAGGGAAAAAAGAAATCTCATTTGTAAACTTAAATGTGTGAACCACAAGCATAAATGGAGGTGTAGATGCCCTCCACTGGGAATTGCCCCAAGCCCCTTGCTCACTACTCTCCACCTTGGCAGCGATGACCCAATCTTATCAGATAGCACAGTATGTCCCAGGGCCCTCAAGCCTCCATCCAGGAAGGGGACTAGGGACTCAAAAAGCACAATGGTTTCTTCAGAGGGACTGTAACATTTATAGTCAGCTTGGCCGACCCCTCCAGCTCCTCGGGTGACTTGTCCATTTGGGGCCCGAGTTGTGAGAGTCCCTGGGAAGTCGATGGTCACTGGGCACTATGGTTGCCAGTCCCGTGGTTCTCAGTGGCATGTGCGGTGTTCAGAGAATTGAAACCATCTTGTTGTACAGCATCTTTCCGGGGTGGCATTCTCTCATTGATCCTATCCAAACCCTTTGCCTCTTCAAAACTGCAGATTCTATGTGGTGGAGAGAATCCTCGTATTGCTTAACAAAATGCAAATTTGATAAGTCAGTAATTGTAAAACAATTCTGAGATTTTAAAAAAACATAATTAATGATCTTTAAGAAGAAAGAAAATAGCTGTAAGGAGCAACACTTAAACCTCACTTTAACTCAATACTATCCCTATGTCAGTCTTCCCCTTAAAATATGAAATGTTTAGACCTAAATATAAACACGATAGCTTCATAGATTTTAAAAAGTTAGAATAGCTTTAACACTAAAACAAAACAAAACATAAAAATGATCCTTCCTTGCCCACAAAATTAACCTCCAGGCAATGGTCTCAGGGTGTAAGTCTGACAGTTATCTCCTATCCTAGATCCTAAAATCACCAGTGACTTATCACAATAAGATAGCAACAAGAGTAGGGTAAGTGGGGAGGCTAAACAAAGTTAATCCTCAAAATACACATCTGTACCAACAGTTCAGGAGGAGAAAGAGGTAAAGATATGTTAAAATTTATTAGATCAAACTTAGCTTGGAGATCATTATCCCATCAGTGCCAGTATGCAAAGAAAAGGGTGAGAAATGCCTCCAGGAGTTAAATTTATATTTGAATGAGAGCAAAAATTACTTATAACTTCATATTTTGGAAGTTTTCCTTAACTTACCAGCCATTTATTATAAATCATTTGGAAAATCAAATAAAAATAAAGAGCAATCATTCACCAACTGCTATGGATTCTCATTCATTTAATCTGGAATGATGCTTCCTCCATTATTAAAGTGTTCATAGAAAAGATTTCCATATGACTAGCTATAATCTGGTTGCTTAATATGTGCAATCCCTGAAACTCAGTCTGTGTATGTTAACCAAACAAATGGCTGGGGCAGCAAAACATTCAGTAATGTGCATTATCAAGCCATAAAGATGATATACACGAATATTATCAGTAAATTATAGCCTAAGCTTCAGGGGAAAAAAAATCATTATTTTAACAGTTCCTACACTCTTGAGCACATTACTAAAAATGAGTAAAAACAAACTCACATGTTTATCTAGAAGAGGTTTTACTTATAAGGAATAATCTAAGTAGCAGAGGATCATGCAAAATATAGAGATTTCTATTTGCAGTCAAATTTACTATATTCCATTAAAACAAGCAACATTAAATGTTACAGCATAATATGTTATCCTCTAAAAAAATCAGGAACAATAAATTATCGATGCATATTTAAAATAGACTGTCACTATGGACATCAGTCCTTGTGATTAAAAGAGAGAGAGAGAGAGAGAAAGGAATGTTGACTATTTAACCTGATGAGTCAGTGAGTATGATTCATCTTGGGCTGTGCAAATTAGGAGTAAGACACACCCACAGGATATTCTCTGATGCCCACCCACACACCACAGATCTCTGCCCAGCATAAGGACTCTGATCGTACCTTTTTCAGCCTCAATAGCCTCAACTGTGGCTGTACAGAAGTGAGCAGAGGCATGCAAAATGAATGAGAGAGATGAGAAGGGTCATATTGTACAGCAGAAAAGGCAATGATAACTTTAAATATCACAGTACCCCATACTACATCATCATTTACAATTTAACATAAATAGTACCCATATTAGAGAGTCCCGTCCAATCCCCCAGTTCCTGACACAGCACAGTTTATACACAGAACTATGACAACATCACTCAAGAGAACAGAACATGTAGACCTACTGTAAACAGAGACACCTCAGTACCCATGCAAATGCACTCCAGTATTAATTACCCTTCTCGAATTCAGCATTTCAATGGCATTAGAATTTTCCATTGTTTATTACATTTAACCATTTAATCACAGGAAAATTCTCTAGGGTAAAGTTATGATGATAAAATTGCCTTCTTTCATGTCTAATGGAAACAATGCTTATCATAGTTGGTTTCATAAGATACAAACTCAAAGAAGTCAGCAATGGTTTGCCTGTCACTTCTAATTATGACAAGACATGAGCAGCAAAAGCTGGAATAGTTAAAAGGAAAAAGGCCATAAACTTAGTGAGTTCATCTAAGTAGAACTGTTCTGTAGTTCTATTCTTTGGAGGGAAACATTAAAAAGACTTCTCTTGCCTAGAAGGAACCTTTTCCTTTGTAACTTTATTTTTTTGTTGTTTGTTTTTTAGATGAAATCTTGTTATATTGCTTAGGTTAGCCTCAAACTCCTAGGCTCAAGCAATCCTGCTTCAGCTTGCCACCTAGGACTAGAGGTGAATACCACTGAACTTGGCTTCTATTCTAATACTGATGGCCCAAAAATATAAACAATCTATAGCCTTTAAAAATCCATTTATATTCAGTGTATCATGAATTTGTCTTAAGAACTAGGACTCTGCATTCTTAACTAAAGAAAGGCTTCAGAGCATCTTTTCAGAGTATCAAGGGATGGAATTGAGAGATCTTTCAGGCAATAAATCCTATTTCATGATACAGACATTCATATATGTCATATTATAAATGAGAAATGCATCTTGGTATAGCTAATACTGGCCTACTTAAAGAACTTCTTCATTCTTAGCTATATATTTTGTAGTCAAAGATTTTTTAATAGCTTGTTTCTAGGTTTAAACTGCAAAAACAGCTCACATTGAGGACCTAAGACTGCAGCGAACATACTATCTCATAATATTGCCCATTTTGTACTTTACTCAAAATACACATACTAAGAATATTTTTATTCTTCTAAAAAAAAAAGAGTATCTGTATTTGCCTTTGTTTATTCTGCAAAAAGTCCAATTAGAATAATTATTTTTAAAATATCCTTTCAGGAATATAATTTAGAAATGATATAATTTAAAGCACTTATTACTATGAAAGGGTACTGATGAATCGATGGTATTAAGGTATACTAAACTAGAAAATATTGCTAATCTTAACCAGATAGTAAAGAAAATTTAGGAACCCTGAAGAAGCAGTATGAATACTAAATAAAGAATTCATTTTCCTCAAGTATTAAATTATATTACAAATAAGACACACTTATTGTATGCCCATTATACAAATCACCAATGACAAGAAAAAAAAAATCTACCCTTGAACACCTAGAAAGAACTCTTAGAATGTGTCAGACAGAAAACTAAGCCCACTAAATGGCCTACTTCTAGGGCTAGAACGCTACTCTTCAAAAATGGACAAATTTCAGTATGGTTTAAATTGGAGAAAAAATAAAATGCTTACCAGAATCTATTTTAAAAGCATTTATGATAACAAAAGGTACTCAATATGAAACATTCTATAACATTTATTGTGCATAGTAATAAATTAAGACTGACAACTAGTATGAAAATTAGTATCTACTTCACTACATCAATAGTTTAGTACATTTTATTTTTTTGGTTTTTGAGACAGGGTCTCACTACGTAGTTGAGATTGACCTGGAACTCACTATGTAGCCTAGGCTGTTCTTGAACTCACAGCGATCCTCCTGCCTCAGCCTCCTGAGTGCTGAGATTGCAGCCATGAGCCACCACACCTGGCTTGTTAGTATATTTTAAAAGTTATGAAATGTAACAATACACTTTTGAAATCATTCCATGTGCTTAATTTTATATGTAAAGACATTTTCTAGGTCAAATGATATCTCTGCTCTTTCTTTAGGACTTTAACTGATTTCAAGTCTTTTCTAGAATATAGAATGGGTATCACATTCAAAACTGCATATTATAAGCTTGAATGATTAGAATTGAATAATAGGTATATGAAGCTTAAACATTAAACTTAAAAAGAGATCTGCTAATTGCAAAATTTTATCTTGAAAAGCACTGTTGTATTTCTCCTCTGTTTCCACTTATATAGAACATCTTAATATTGCCCTAATAATTATAAGTATAGTGATGCCCTAAACTGTGTTCCTCAATACAATATAGAATAAATGACCATGAGGAATTTGACATTATTAAAAGAGTTGGCTACAAATTTTCCCAGATAGGTATCTGACAGCAATATTTAGAGCTAGCTTCCAATCAAATTTCTTTGAAAAAAATATACATAAAATATGAATGTAATATTCAACTCCAATAAAAATTGTGTGGTTTACAAAAACACTAAAGAAATATTATGTAAATTAACTTTAAAATTAAATGTTATATAATTTTTTGAAAAATCACACAGATGTAGCTTCTGCATGAGTTT